TGGGATGACAGGCATGAGCCATCGTGCCCAGCCTGGAAAGTAGATTCTGCCTTCCTGAGGCTGCTTCATTTATTTCTTAGGACTTGAGAGACTGAAGTTTGCTAGCTTGCTAGTGGTAGAGGGGAGACGTTGACAAACTGAAAACGGTCCACAGAGCAAATCTGGACCACTGCCTTTTTTGGTACAGTTTGCAAGTCTGAATGGTTTTCAGTTTTAAATGGTTGGAAAATAATCAAAACAAGAATGGTATTTCATGACGTGTGAAAGTGGCCTGAAATTCAAATGCCTGTGTTCATAAATAAGGTTCTATTAGAACACGCCCACAGTCATTCATTTGCAGCTGGTCACTTCTTTGATGCCAGAACGGCAGAGTTGTTTCGACAGAGATCCATGTGGCCCACAAAGCCCTTTATGGAAAACGTCCGCTGACTCCTGGTTTAGGGTAAGGATTTAGCATTCCCATGGCCCCAGCTCTGTCCCCACCTCCCAGGCTCCCCGCTCAGCCCCAGCCCCACCCCAGAGAGTGTGTTCCTTGAGGACATGAAGCCGGGAGGACACAAATGCCCACTAGCATCTCCCTGCCAGGCACCACCTCAGGCCCTGCAGAGGTGTCATCTCAGTAGTGACAACATTCCCACTTTAGGAATGAGGAAACTGAGGCTCAGAGAGGCAAATCATCTGCCCGAGTTTATACAGATAATAAGTGGCACAGCTTGGATCTGACCCCAGCCACGCTAACCTCAAACCCATACTCCACACCCTGGTTTAGAATTCCATGACCAGCCCAGAGGCAGGACACAGGTGAGGACCCCTGGGAGCCCTCTGGCCTCCGCCCAAGCTTTCTCAGGTGACACAGTGACACCCTGGGGCCTGTTCCCTTGCTAAGCACATCCCTCCCACTCCTCCGTGTTCCTGCCATGTTCCAGCCTTGGCTCCCGCCTGCGTTTTCACCCGACCCTGGCAGCCAGCATAAACACGGCTGCCCCAGCACCCGCTCCCATGGAGCCAAAAGAACCTACTTCCCTGCTGCTGCGGCCTGGGATTCCAAACAATAATGAAAAAAAAACTTCAACCCGTGCCCGGGGGAGACAGATGCAATTCCATGGAAATACTCACCTGTGGCGGGGCACAGGGGAGGCATTTCATGGACCGAGGGGAGCCATCTAACTTGCTTTTATGTGTCCAGTTTTACCCACCAGGCCTCGTCGAGGAGGGAAGGGGCCCTCCTGGCCAATGTTCTGTATTAGGAAGGGATGTGTTTTATGAGGGTTTTAAACCATCTCTGGCCTTTGCAGATTTGCTTTCCTGGACCATGGTCCCCGTGGGTCCTCTCCCTACAGGGATTTTCCACTCACCTGATGCCTGCTTTCTCCTCTCTGTTGCCTCTGGCCAGGCAAGCTGCCCAGTCGGCCATCACGTTCGACTCATGTTTTCCCAGGAGCCTGTCTCCGTGAAGAGACCCTCCAGGGCGGCTGATGTTAAACCTCATGGAACACTTTTTTCCACTAGACCAGGAGGCTTTCCAAATCTCCCTTACAGAACACTGCCAGCTTGTTCTGCTCAGGGGAAAGGAGCCAGTTGTCCCGCAAAGCCATGTACGTGTGTGAGTCCACGTGTGTCTGTATGTGCACATGCATCTGTGTGTGTCAATCACACCAAGCTGTCGGTATTAAAATCCTGCTCAAGAGCTGGAGGAAGGGTGAGGAGGGAGGCAGAGTAGCTCAGCAGTGAGCACAGACCTGCTGGGATTTGGCTCCCGTGAATGCAGTCTCTTGGGAGGGGAGGGGAGGGGAGGGGAAGGAAGGGGCCCCCATCCCCACCCCAAAGTCCCTGAGCTGGGCACTCATGGCAGCAGAGCTCCAGATGTCACTGTTCACCCATCATGAGCCGGTGGCCCGTGGCCATCCCTGGCCTGAGTACCAATGGCCTCCTCACTGTTCTCCCGACATCCACGCAGTTCCCAGAGCTATCCCGGATTCAGCAGCCCAAGCAGACTCCGAAGACAGAGATTCCATCACATCTGCCCTTTGCTCCACAGCTCCCCTCCAAAGGCCCCCATCGCACTGCAGACGAAACCCAAAGTCCTCCTCCTGCCTGCAGGACCCAGCCGCAGCGCTTTTCAAACCTCAGCGAGCAAAGGAGCACCTGGGGATCTCGTTCAGTACAAAGCAGAGCCTGATTCAGGAGGGCCAGGGCAGGGCCTGGGATTCTGTACTTCTTTTGGTGTTTTTGAGACAGAGTCTTGCTCTGTGGCTGGAGTACAGTGGCGCGATCTCAGCTCACTGCAACCTCCACCTCCCGGGTTCAAGCGATTCTCTTGCCTCAGCCTCCCAAGTAGCTGGGATTACAGGTGCACCCCACTGTATCATGCTAATTTTTTTTTGTATTTTTTGTAGAAACGGGGTTTCACCATGTTGCCCAGGCTGGTCTCAAACTCCTGGCCTCAGGTGATCCACCCACCTTGGCCTCCCAAAGTGCTGGGATTACAGGCGTGAGCCACCGGGCCCGGCCTGGATTGTGCATTTCTAACAAGCTTCTGGTCCAGGAACCGCAGGGTGAGTGTGGATCCTCGCTGCACCCGGCGGGGGGCGGGGAGGGCGCTGAGCCATGGAAAAAGTTAGGTCCCCCGAGTGCAGCTCACCTCTTCCCTTCAGCCCAGAAAGGCTCCTTTCACATTTTCAGGGACAGACCTGGGATGTGAAATTTCAAACTCTGCCCTGAGTTAAATTCCAGGAGGGGGTACCAAGAGCAAAGGATAAAGGCTGGGGGAGGGAGGAAAAGCCAGAGAGGATGTGTCCCTGCTGTTTTCACTAAAGCCAGGCCACAGTGACCCTCAGGTCTGGCCTGCTGAACTGTGTACACACACATCACCCCCACACAAGGTCTCCTTGGCCCCATCTTCCCAGGGCCCCCGGGGGAGGGCAACAGAGCAGATGACAGCTCCTCTCTGAGCAGTTGATGCTGGGAGAAACCTGTAGCTTGCAGACTTGCCAGGCCCACAAAAACCACATCCTGAAAGATGGACCAAGTAGAAAAAAGGCCACCGTCCACCTCGGGCCAGCTTCTGGAACTGTCAGTTCCTTTGGGGAATGCCTGACATGTTCTTTTTTCCTCTGATTTCATCCCAAACCTTTTGGGAAGCAGGGTGCATAGCCTTACACCAGTTACTTAAATTTACTGAACCTATTTCCTCCTGCAATAAATGGGCACGTGCCTCCCTGCGTTGTTAAGGAAATTAAATCAGAAACTGTGTAAAGGCCCTGAGGCACTAAAGGTCAGTTTGGGTTCCCGACCTCCTTCCCACCCACTGTCTGCCCTCCATCCCAGGCACACAACCGGAGAGATGTAAGAGGGACATAACGGTTACCCAGCCCCTCTGGCATCTGACCAAGGTGGGCTAGTTGGGGTGAAAATGCATCTCTGTATATGAGTTGCTTCATACCTTTTGGCTTTAGTTTCCCCAGTCACAAAAGTGTGTCGGGGGTGGGGAAGGAGGACTATGATCCTCACAAGCCCTTTTACAGTTGGGATGTTAACCTTACATGAGAGAAATGCCTGGAAGAAAAGCATAGCTAGTTAGGAACACCGCGGGGGGCGGGGTTGGAGGCCGGGCAGCTCGGAGGCGCAGTATCCTATCTGGACCACTAGGCGGCTCCGAGGACAACAGATGAGCAAAGCCCGGTTTTGCAGCCTGGTTCTGTCTTCAGACCTTTCCAGGCTTCTTCGCAGGCCTGGCGGACACCAGCCGCTGCTGGGTGGGAAAGGCCTGTCACTTCCAGGCTGGAATCTCTTTCCCATTTTTACAGACCTCGAGGATGGGAGGAGGCCGTCACCACAATGGAGTCCTGCCCTGGGGTCTGATGGAGACATTGGTCCGCCCTTCGGTCAGACTCTAGGCGGCGTTGGGGGATCTCTGCTCTGCAACCCTTGGCTGAACCCCATCCTCCACTTCTTTCCTCCCGTCAGGTCAGAGTGGGAAGAGGTCTGGATTGGGATTCCCCCCTCCTGCACTTCCTGGCTGGGTAACCTGGATGATGGGGTAACAGTCCCCCCATTGCAAGGTCAGGGGAAGGACTAAGCGTCAGAATACAGGCCCTCAGTACAAGGCGGTAGCTCATCCTAAGCCTCTCCTGCCTTTTGCTCTTCCAGTGGCTTTTCACCCAGAAGGAAGATCCTCACCTGCAGAACCTCTCCCCAGAACTAGGTCTTTGCAGGTGACAAGGCAATCCCAGCCTCCGCTCCCCGCAGATCAGCGTTTTTCGAAGTGACTTCCTCACCCAGGCGGAGCATTAAAAGTACCGATCCCAGCGCACCCAGCCCTGCTGAATCAGAATCTCTGGGGGTGAGGCCCAGGAATCGCCGTCTGAACAAGTCGCGGGCTGGAAACGGCCGCCCCAGATTACGGGGCAGCTCCCTGCTTTGCTCTCGCTCCTCCGGCCCCGGGAACGTGCAGGGGGGCGGGAGGCAAGTCCCATCAGCACTTTGAACTGGGGTTGCTTTTTCGTGACTCACCTCCCAGACTTCCTGCAACAGACAACTCTAAATAGCTCGGTCCCACCCTGCAGCAGGGGAGACATTCCGGTCGGGAAGGGCGGGAGGTTAGAAGGTGGGTGCCCCGCCAGGGCAGTCCAGGGAGATCCACAGGAGAAGCTGGCTGCACAGCACAGGGGCGCAGGAATAGGACGTTTTGTTTACAGGCTTTTGTTATTAAGGAAATTGCTGTCAGTCAAGGTAATTCTAGCTCAGATGAGCAATAAATATGCTCCCAGCTAATCTTATAGGGATTTTATTGGCACCCGGAGCACAGGTTCCTTTCCCCTGACTACCCCCTCCCCTCAAAGCAAAGCCCTGCTCCCCAGCGGCTTCCCCCAAGCATCGTGAGGGACTTGGGTCAGGCTTTTAAAAGTCCACTCTAAGTGAAGACAGAAGAGGTCCGGGCAAAGGTGAGGAGTGGCTTCCCGATCCTACCTGGAGGCCGGGGATGACCAAATGACCTCAAATAAAACCCTGGGTGACCTGGTTGGATCAAGGCATGCGCAAGCTACCCCGGGCCTGCTGCACACGCAGAGGTGGTCACCTGGCCCGCGGGCGGCCCGGGCAAGGAGGAATGTCTCGAGAAGGCAGCCGGCTCGCGGGAGTCGGTTCCAGCGTGTTCGAGTTACAGCTGCGAGCCCTCAGGGACACCGGCGGCAAGTCCCGGCTTGCAGAGAGGGGAGCCAGTCCCGGGAGAGCGCGAGTCCCGGCGAGCCCGAGTGCGCGCCTTATGCGCGCTCCCTGCGACGGCGCAGGGGGAGGGGAGGCCGCAGCAGCCACTCAGAGGAACGGTAGTGAAGCCTCCCAACAACTTTAACTGTCAATCAGACTTAATGGGGTATTAAAAAAATGGGGGAAAAAGGGGCCGCCCTCTCTCTCCGAGACGCAGCTGCCCGGGGAGCGAATGAATAGGGCCGCGCAGACCAAGGCGTCCGATCCACGCGCGCTCCACAACCGGACCCTCTCCAAGTTGGAAAGGACAAAAAGAAGGCAATAAATGCTAAAAAGGGAGAGAAGGGGAGCTGGATCGAGCGGCAACTCCCAGCCTCTGCTGGAACAGAGAGGGGAGGGAGGGAGCCGGAGCGAGCGAGCGCGCGCGAGGGCGAGCCCTGCACGTAAAGAAACTGACACCCGGACCCCCCACTTCTCCTGCACGTTGCTGGCAATCAGATCGCGTTTAAGCAATTTCCTGAGCCCAAGAATAGCAATGAGTCGGGAGACTTTCGCGGGCTGAAATTGGGAGCTCCAAGCACTTTTTTCCCCACTTTTTTTTTTTTTTTTCCGGGGACGGGGGGGGGGGGGGGGGGCTATAATTTGGAAACAGTTTTTTTTTTTTTTTTTTTTTTTGTTTAATCTTGCACTTTGAAACCGCGGGACCGAGGCAGGGTGAGCGCGTGTGGTTGGTGCCTTTTTTTTTTTTTTTTCTTCCCCTGCCTGAACTCCTCTGTCAGTCTGTAAACATTACCTGAGAATTCCCCAGCCGAAACGGCTGCTGGGGCAAGAAACTTCTTGTTAGAACTTTCCACCTCCAGCTTCCCCCTCCACCTCTTTTACCGTCCCAACCTTAGGAGACGCTTTTTCTCCCCCAGAGGAGAATTTATCTTTTTTTTTTTTTTTCCCTCACCCGGTGCTTTGCATTTGGGAAGAGGTGATTTCAAGAGTGGCCAGGTGGGACGCCTCTCTCCTTATTCGGTTTACTATTTATTGTTCGGGGTGTTTTTTAATTCCTGCATTGCTCGGCCCGGGGACTTTCGCCCCCTGCCCGGGTCCGCGGCGCGGAGGATGGTGTGGAAACGGCTGGGCGCGCTGGTGGTGTTCCCTCTACAGATGATCTATCTGGTGGTGAAAGCAGCCGTCGGACTGGTGCTGCCCGCCAAGCTGCGGGACCTGTCGCGGGAGAACGTCCTCATCACAGGCGGCGGGAGAGGCATCGGGCGTCAGCTCGCCCGCGAGTTCGCGGAGCGCGGCGCCAGAAAGGTACCAGGCACTGCGATTCCAGGGAGTGGGGGACCGCAGGGGAGGGGGTGAGCCCACCTGCTGCCGCTGCGGGATCCCGCTCCCGGGAGCTGAGAGTCAACGGCCACCCCACTCCCCCGTGCCACCCACGAGTGCTGAGCTAGTCGGTTTCACCTTGTAAATTTCCCGGGCACCGGACTGTCTTTTTTGGCAGGTTCAGAGTTGATCCGCTCCTTTGGGATCGGTGGCTGGCTGGCTATTCACCCCCACCCTGAAACTTAGGAGACCCACCCATTTCCCACATTCCTGCCTCCCAAAGGAAGGTGTTGTGCCCCCCTCCCCCGCCTTCCCCCCTTTTTGTTGCCGCCACCCTGGTGAGTGGAGGGTGTGCGCACTCCTGGGTAGAGCTGGGAGCCGCCTGCTAGCTGGCGCCTCGTATTTTCCTTGGCAACCCGCTACCCAGCCCCAACCTGGGCGGCTGCAGCTCTGAAGACACGAGAGGGGGTACTTGGTTTGGGTTTGAAAAGGGAAGAGCGGTCTGGCCGGACCGACACTGAGAGGCCCAGGTGTTTGGAAAGCAGGAAAGAGGAGGCCAGGGTAAGCAGCTACTGATAAAGAGCCCTTGTTCTCACCTTCAACCCTGTCCCCTCCCCCCAGCACACCCCTCGGGGATCCCTCCCCCTTTAGCTGGAAGGTGGTGCTGCAAGGAGGGTCCTGCCCACCAGACACAGCCTTTAACTTTTTGGTGGTTCCGGCACCCCTTGCTCCACGTTTTGGAGACCTGGTGCCGGAGAGCGGGGAGGGTGAGCAGGCTGTCTGTCACCCAACTCCCAGCCCAGGCCAGGCTGACTCACCCGGTGACCAGAGCCATCGGGAGAGGGAGGCAGGCCAGGCTGTCTCCAGCCAGCCCTGTGAAGAGGAAGAGCGAAAACAGGGAATTAGTTTGAAACTTAAACTGTTGTGAACTAGGGGGGTGAAAGGGCCGCAAAGCCAGCTGATCTGACATGGAGCCGCATACCTTGGGGATTAAGTAAACATGTACTGTAGAAAACCAAACCTGCATGTAATTCCAGGTTGCTTTTGTTTTGTTAAATGCTGCCCTGAGATTTACAATTCCTCCGGGGTGGCTCTGACTGGGACTGAACTTTGGAGCCTGAACTATCAGCCAAAGCCGATCCGATTAACTCTTCCCTAGCCGGGCTGGCCGGAGCGCGTGGTGGCCAAGCTAGCAGGGGTCTGGCTGTCCAGGACTCCCTCTTCTCCTTGGGTGGTTTGGACAGCTGCTTGACCTTGCATTTGGAGGGGGAGTCGGGAAGTGTTTTTAACCCTTGGACGCAACAAATAAGGGGAAGTAAGAGTTGTTCTCAGCAGTTTCATTTCCTTGAGGCGATGCCTCATAAAACGGCTCCCGAAGTTCTTTGTGAAGGGGTCTCAAAAGGGCAGATGAGGGTGTCCTTTGGGGAGGGAAGTGGGGTATAGGACAATTGCATGTGATTGTCATTCTTTAGCTGTCTGCATCCCACAGAGACTTTTTTCTGAGTCTTCCAGCTCTCCCAAGTCCTAGGTCTCTTTTACTGTTCTTGTAGCTGACTACAGTAGGCAGATGAGGAACTCTTAGTCAATCTGGAAAAACTCGACTGACTATAAACAATCCTAAATTGAAAGAAGTGTATGCCATTGGGGGGTGGGTGCGATAGTACAGAATGGAGCGCAAGTTCACGCACCGGGAGCCAAACCCCACCTAACTTGGACTGGACGTCTTCTTCCAGGGAATCCAGCCAGGGCCAATTAGAAATATGTCTTAAATTGGTGTCAGGGTCACCAAAAACAAAAACAGGATCCATGGGGGCCTGTGAAACTTCGGGTGCCATTTATAATCGGTTCAGTCACCTGACTCGCCAGGATGACCAGCAGTGCTCCCTGTAACTCGCCATTATCTGACCAATTACGGGAGCTACTTTATAATAAGGCTTCTGTTTGCTGTCATGGTGGGGAGTTTGGAATTGTGACTTCTGGCCTGACACCAGTGAGAGGACTTTGGGACAACCCCCAGAGCTGGGAGTGCTTTGGGGCCTAGTGGAGTTGGGAACAAAGGGTCAAGTGTTGAGGGAGTGGGGAATTTATGGGTTGGGGACAGGTGTGAACAGTGGGTTTGGGGGTGGCCCAAGGGCACTGGATCAGAGAGGGCCAGTGCCACTCACAGCCTGCAGTGATACTAGATGGGGGCGGCTGTGCGGAACCACGGATGACGTTCCTTCTCCTCTTGATGGAAGTGGAGGCTGCATCTGAGAGCTTCCCACCCTAGATTCTAGTGGGATTGGATCTGGAGGGGAAAGACCCCAAGAAGGAAAAAAAAAAAAAAAAAAAGGAGTACCGGAATCTCTGCAAATAGCTGACTTGTCCAGGAGTTATCTGTTTATTTGGGAAGGAGGGAGAGTTGACAACCCAGTTTCCCATAATGACCTTGAGTTAAATAGCATTTGGCAATATTCGTGGGTGGTGGTGAGCCTTAGGGTGCAAAGGTGGCCCAAATAAGCGAGGGCTTTTTTTAAAGGGACACTAAGGCTATAAGAATTTGAAAGCTCCTAATTAGGACACGTCTCTCCTTATCCACAGTGCACTGTGGCAAACTGAGGCAGGGCCAGTCACGGTTACGGTCTCCAGGCGTAAAGCTCTTGCTTCTCAATTTTCTATGCCCTCTTAGAATTCCTTCCACAAAAGCATTCACAAACCTTAAGCTTATTCCCCTTCCCTCCAAAGGAACTAACTTCTGGCTAGTGGTCAGCCCAGGCTCCAGTCTTTGCGTTTGACATGGTGTTCGCAGGAACCCCTGGGAGGAGAAGTGGATCGTTCATTTAGAAGTATTTGTAGAGACCATTCCAGCCTTTGGTTTGGTATCAGGCAAGTGGCTGGACTAGAGTCTTAGGCCATGATTGCAAACCTTGGGAGGTAGGGCAACATACACGAACTCAATACCACATCAAGAATTCCAGGACCTTGGCTGGGCACAGTGGCTCACGCCTGTAATCCCAGCACTTTGGGAGGCTGAGGCGGGCAGATGACCTGAGGTCAGGAGCTCAAGACCAGCCTAGCCAACATGGTGAATCTCCATCTCGACTAAAAATACAAAAAATTATCCAGGCATGGTGGTAAACACCTGTAATCTCAGCTGGTCAGGAGGCTGAGGCAGGAGAAGTGCTTGAACCCGGGAGGTGGAGGTTGCAGTGAGCCTAGATCGCGCTATTGCACTCCAGCCTGGGCGACAGAATGAAACTCTGTCTCAAAAACAAACAAAAAAACAAGCAAATACTCAATTCCCATTTCCAAGAGGTAGTCTGAGGGGAGGTATTTCAGGGGCGTAGTGTGGGAACTGGCTTGGAGTTCTGTCTTTGCTATCAGTGAATTTACAGCATGTGGGTAGATTGCCCTGTTCCTAAAGCACCCAGCCAGGAACGAGCACTGTGAGTAGATTTATGAAGCCCATTCTCCAGCACTTCCATTCAGCAAGTCCTGTGTCCTTCCCATTCCTAGCCCTGGGGCCAGCCCAAGCTCAGAAGTCCCTTGACATCGTCTCTGAGAGACCTAGCTTAGCAAACCTGCCTGGGGTATCTGTTCGGTGTTTGGCATAGCTCTGGGCCTGTAGGAAAATGTAGCAAAGATGAATAAAGACCTAGAATGTGGCCAGGTGCTTACAGTGAAGGCACAAATCACCATGTGTGTGTGCTTCCTGTGGTTACCATGACAAATTAGCACAAACTTGATGGCTTACCACAACAAAATGTATTCTCTCGTGGTTCTAGGGGCCAGAAGTCTGAAATCAAGGCGTCAGCAGGGTTCTGGGTTCCTCTCCACTCAAAGACCCCAGGGGAAGATCCTTCGTCATCTCTTCCAGCTCCTGGTGGCTCCTGATGCTCCTTGGCTTGTAGGAGCATGGCTGCAATCTCTCCTTTCATCATCACATGGCCTTCCTCACTGTGTGTGTCTAGGTCTTGTCTTTTTTTGTTTTTTGAAACAGAGTTTCAATCTTATTGCCCAGGCTGGAGTGCAATGGTGTGATCTTGGCTCACTGCAACCTCCACCTCCCAGATTCAAGCAATTCTCCTGCCTCAGCCTCCCGAGTAGCTGGGATTACAGGCATGCGTGCCACCATGCCCAACTAATTTTGTATTTTTAGTAGAGACAGGGTTTCTCCATGTTAGTCAGGCTGGTCTCGAACTCCCAACCTCAGGTGATCCACCCACCTCGGCCTCCCAAAGTGCTCGGATTACAGGCATGAGCCACCACGCCCACCCCCATCATCTTCTTATAAGGACACTAGTTATTGGATTCAAGGCACATACTAAATCCAATGTGATTATATCTCAAGATCCTTAACTAGTTACAGCTCCAAAAACTCTCTTTCCAAATAAGGTGATATTCTGAAGTTCTGGATGGGCATGATGTTTGGGGGATACTACATGGTGGAAGCACAGAGGAGCAGTTCATTTATAGCAAGCGCTCATGAAAGGTTTCATGAAGGAGGGAGCATTTGACTGAGCCTTGAAGAAGGTCAAGAGTTTCAACCAGAAGGGGTGTGACAAGGGCAATCTAGGTGCAAGAAACCTCCTGATCAAAGGCTCTACCTGGCTGGAATGCGAGAGGGAAGTAGAAAGGAAAGCAAGAAAATACTGTATCGTGGCATAGGGAGGTAAGCAGGGAGTTTACACCTCAGACTCTGAGTCAGGTCAGTACTGGTGGGAATGGGACGAAAGAGAAAGAAGAGAAGGGTCCAGACAGGTCATCTATGGGTCTCAGGCCATCTATGAGTCATCAGGCCAAAACAGCTGCACTAGCAAATTTACAGGGGAGAGAGCAGTGGCCCATCTCTCCTATCCTCTCTGTGCAGCCTGAAAGCAGGCAGGTAGGCTACCTGTTCTACCTGTGACCCCTAGAAGTGTTTCCGCTTGGAGCTTGGGTCACAACTGACCTTACAAATGAGGCTGTCTCATGAATAGACAAACATCTCCTTCTTACTCCCCCAG